AACTGCGCAACCCGGGGGTGCTGAAAATCAACCCCATCAAAAGAAGGGATATGGGGGCTGGGATATGATAAACCCTATATCCTAGGCATAGGTAGATGACCTCCAAAATCCCAGACCATCTAAGTCTATTTTCCCACAAAAGCGAAAAATGGAATCTGGCGGGCGATGCCCAAAATAGGCAAGTAGGGTCAAACGGCGACGGAATGAGGTCCCATTTTAGAAGGGTCATCGGTAGGGTTTATACAAGGGGCCTGTGAAGTTACAAGGTCATCTGACGTCGTTTAGGCAGCAAACACAGATTTGATAAATCTGAGTAATCCGTGATCTGAGTTTTTTTTGCAAGTCCGAGTCTCTGCTGCAAATTTTTTTTTTTTTTTTTTTTTTTTTTTAAAACAAATGCTCCAATCTATTCGTGGGAAGAAGCATGTGCTGAGAACCGGGCCCAGCGTCCCATATCGAATTGTACAGATCATTAAGAATATTTGAGAACATTTTAAAGATCATTTGAGATACCGGGGCCATTACCCGGCTTCGGCTGTGATCAGTCTGTGAATATTTATGACGTATTAAGAAACTACTCATGCAGTAGCCTGCCACAAAGGTCCTACGAATGCTCACCACCGTCAGAATTCCTAACAAGCGCTTCTAAGACTTTCCAACACAGTCTTACTCCCTGTTGAGCTCTTCAAGGCTCCACCCTGCTAAGTTACAGGGCAAAACAACTCGCCCCAACTCCGACCAGTGTCGCTCCAGCAACAAACCTTGGTTGTCCCTTGGGAAGCCCACCCCAAAGTATCCCCAGATCTTTCTACTAGGCCTCACGCTTCTGCATCAGCAGGTTACAGGGCAACACCCCAGCACCGGCCAGCGTCGTTCTCGCATCGAACAACCACAGATCACTGAGTATAACCGATTAGATGGGTTGCTAAGAGTCCCTAGAGTCCTAAGACATTTATAAGAACCACCTACAGATCAAATAGGTGAAACCTATTCATTCCACCTACGACCACCACCAGCATGACTGTTTTCAGCACGAAACGAAGCTCTTCCAGGCCTCATGCTTCCATCAGGTTAGGTTACAGAGTTGCACCACCATGCTCCAGCACCGACCAACGTTGCTCCAGTTACGACCCCCGATGACCACTGAGACTGCCCCCGCACACAGCCCCCCAGAGCTCTCTACCAGGCCTCACACCCCCACTAAACTAGGTCCCAGAGTTGCGCCACCTGGCTCCGGCTCCGGCCAGCGTTGCTCCAACATCGGTCTTCGAGGGCCACCGAATTTTCAACCACCCTTCGCAGGATCACAAATGAATTGTCAGATAGCACCTATTCCTGCAATCTCTTCGAGTGGCAAACCAAATGAAAAGAAATAGTGAACTTAATCTACATGACAGAGTTATTCAAGAAAGACCGCCCCTCCCTCCCCCTACCACTCCCCCCTCAGCCCTACACTGCCTCCGCCGAGGTGAGTCACCCACTCTCCGTCGGCCCCAATATAGGACCAACCCCTACCCCCCTTTCCCCAGGAGCACGCAGTTCCCCCCCCAACCCCTTGCCCATTTCTGCCTCCGCCGGGACTGATATTGACCCACACACCAGCCCCTGCCCCAGAATAGGGCAACCCCCTACTCCGCCCCTACTTTCTGTGAGACATTCACCCCCCACCTTGTGATGCCCCTGCAAGATGGAGCTCCCCCCTCCCCCTTCCTACCGTTTAACCTTCCGGGAACGATCCAATCGCAAATTTCTGAAAGTCATTATGAAGAAAGGTAGATGATTTTTTTTTTTTGATTTTGTTGATGACGACGAAAAGCACCCTAAAAATGATGTTAATGAGAATGACGGTGACAACCAACTCACCTGCTGATGTGAACGACAAACAATGCCTTGAAGAGCAAACATCTAATGATGACAAACTGATGATGATGGTGATGATGATGATGGTGATGTGAATGAGACCGAATGATGTTGATGACCCTATGATTACAAAAAGATGATGATAATGATGATACTGATGATGTTGATGACGATGCTGATAATGATGATGATGAATTTGATGATGATGACGATGATGATGATGATGATGATGATGATGATGGTACGCCGCGCCCTATGATGGCAACAAGATGATGATGGTGCTGATGACGAGCACCTTTGATGATAACCTAATAATGATGATGATGATAAAATGATGATGATGATGATGATGATGATGATGATGATGATGATGAGCAAAGCCCTATGATGACGTCAAGTTTTGCCACCCGTGCCATCTGATGGAGAGAAATTTGACGATGGTGATACAACAGTGAGTAACGAGCAGCTCCCCTGATGCACGACTCCTTGATAGTAGTAATAATATTAGCGCCGAACAGGAGTAAAGGCATACGTTTGATGATGACGACAAGCAATATCCTGATGCTGATGATGGTGATGACGAGCAGCGACCTGATGATGATGTCAAATCACGCCTTGTTGCTGATGATAGTGACGAGCAGAACCCTAATGATAATGACGCCGATGCTAGTGTTGGTGGTGATCAGCGAGAGTGTCGTCGATGACAGAGATGTATGCAAAAAAACCGAAATCAACGCATTCGATATCGCCTCCACTCCTCCTCCTGCTCCACGTAAGCACAGGCTCCTCCTTTCTGTCCGCGTCATACCAACCGCCTACCACAACACTACGCAGACGAAGGAGTAGAAGCCATAAGAAAACTGAAATTCTCAAGGAGACCCACCTCTTGTTCAAGGCAAGTTCCCCTTCACCCAACGTGCTGACCTGTAACACCACTGGATGAAGCGCAAAGCCGGAGATGGCACCGAAGTGCTTTCAAAAGGCAGGCAACACCTAGTCACGCTCCATCCTCCTGCCCTCCCGCTGTCCGATCTCTACTTCATCACTACCCCATCACCAACGTGCCGACACGTCAAAAATGTCCACGTCATACCCAACCGCCACTTCGCACTCGTGTGTTTCCAACCTGTAGGGTGCCACGGACTGCCCTTGTGAGAGTGTCAACCCAGCAGGGCGCAGCGCTCTCGAAAGCACTGCACCCCATCTGGTCGACTCGTTGATCTCCTCTCTGCTGCAAATCTGAATTCCGGAAATTTGAGTTTTCTGATGGTTCGGATGGTGGGAAAACGCAAGCAGCACGAGACCGAAAGTTTAGGGACCACCTTCACACCTTCTCCCCCCTCCACCTCCTCCACCTTCTCCACCCATCCACCATAGCCAATCACCTTTACACCTTTTTTTTTTTTTGGAATGCCAACGGTGGTACGAGAACCGCCAGGATTGAGGGTTTGTCGATCGAGCGGCACCATCTATTGATGGGGAGCTGCACTTGCTTGAAACCGGGTCCAACATCCCATTTATACATCTCGTAGTTCAACGATCGTTGGTTATTGTTTCCTGGGGCTATGGTTATTTGTCTTGCTAGACCGAGAGTCCATCGTCCTATGAAGCTGCTAGAAACATCCATCCCTTTTTGGTGCGCCCACAATCTGTTAGCCCAACCCTGTTCAACAGCTCCCCAGTGGTGAGACGTTGCCTTCCACTTGCTCACGGGACTGCATATCCCGTGGGACTGCATATCCCGTGGGACATGGGTATCCTGTTGCTTGGCAATAAACTCCCATCGCAATCTGAATGGTCCCCCTTTGCAACCAATCTCTTATCGTATATGAGATTGCAGGTCGTTATGCTGGCATGGAGAGCCCGATGCTCCTTTGAAAGAAAGGAGTGTCAGTTCGGACTGCTACAAGCCCAACAAGTAATAGAAGAGGAAATCAGGTCCCACACTTATGTGGCCTGAATTTTTTTTATTAAAGGTTACTAGGAGGAAAATGATCATACAATTAAAGAAACTCTTAAGAAAGTCTACCTCCAGCTCTGGCAGGACCCGTATCAAATATATGCAGAGCTGGATGTTGGACTTAACATTCGTTGGAAGCACTGGACGAGCACAAAACCCTCTTGGCAAAGAAGACCCTTCCACTTCTTCCTCATCCCCTATCTGCAACCCAACTTCGTGCTGGTAGCGTGATTTCTTCTGGACCTTTTCTGCAACATAGGCTCCTGCTGTCACTTTCCCCTGGGCGTGTCGAAGTCTCAGTCCCATCCTTCCTTCCTTCCCTCCCACTCCCCTCTCTTTTCCCCACCCTTACCTCGCTGCACAACACACCATTTCGACGTATCACCACCCATAACCACAACACCTAGGCAAAAACGGGAGTGAGGAAGACCGGCAAAGACAGACGAGGACAGGCAATGGACTGCTCACAAGACACAACAACGAAGGAGAAGACTGAAAGGATAAAGGAAGAGAAGAAAGGTCATGAGGTATGGAGACAATGTACTTCTCTCAAGCAAGAACAACGAAGGACAAAAACGGAATGATACTGGAAAAAAACGGAGGTTAAACCTGGTACAATGACGCTAGGGAGGGAGAAAGGTGTGCCTCATGGTGCGCAACCACAACACTCCCCCTCCTGTCCGTGAAAAGGATGATGAAGTTGCCCCTATTTAATGCTCGAGCTTCCATCTCAAAGTTGGCTTAACGATCTGCATAAGGTGTCACTTAAAAGAGGAGATGACCCCACCTATGACGAAGGATTGCTTGGATGGTGAAAGTTGGAAGGATGACTACACTCGATCACCATGGTGGCTGGAAAGGTAATGACGAGACATACAGTGCGGATCTTCACAGTACCGAACAATTCCCCCAACCAGACAATTGTACAGGGATACGCATAATCCTCTATCATTGACTCCAGTTATGTACGAGATTGGAGAGGGTATAGGTTTTGAAAGGATTAAGAACTTAGATGAATAGGCATAGTCCTCCCTCAATGAGTTGATTTCTATTGCACTGCATTGCATTGCATCTCTAATCATCTTTGGGCAGACCTCCCAATAGATCCTCAAATCCGCAGATCTTTCGACTTGAAGGATCGAGCATCTGTTAAGTATGAAATGCATCGGATAGGCCAGGGTATAGGGTTTAAAGGGATTTAAAATGTCATACAATGAAACAACCTTCACACCTTCTCCCTCTTCCACCTACTTCACCCATCAACCATAGTCAGCCACCTCCACATCGCCTTCCTTCTCCACCTCCTTCACCCTATCCACCATAGCCAACCACATCCACTCCTTTCTCCTCCACCTCCTTCACCCATCCACCATAGCCAATCATCTTCACACCTTCTCCCTCCTCCACCTCCTTTACCCATCCACCATAGCCAACCACCTCCACACCACCTTCCTCCTCCACCTCCACCCATCCACCATAGCCAACCGCCCTCACACCTTCTTCCTCCTCTACCTCCTTCACCCATCCACCATAGCCAACCTTCTCCACACCTCCTTCCTCCTCCACCTCCTTCACCCATCCACCATAGCCAACCACCTCCACTCCTTCGTCCTCCACCTCCTTCACCCATCCACCATAGCCAATCACCTTCACACCTTCTCCCTCCTCCACTTCCTCCACCCATCCATGATAGCCTACCACCTCCACACCGCCTTCCTCCTCCTCCTGCTTCACCCATCAACCATAGCCAATCACCTTCACACATTTTCCCTCCTCCACTTCCTTCACCCATCCACCATAGCCAACCACCTCCATACCACCTTCCTCCTCCACCTCCTTCACCCTATGTTTCCCCCAGGCCGCGGCCGGGTTCGGCCACAGCCATGGCCGCTGGCCTAGGCCGCGGCCGATAAGTTCGACCGAGGCCACGGCCGATCGGGGAGGGGGTTTGGGGGGCGGGGAACGGGTTTCGAGTCGGGGGGGGGTCCCCTACCTCCTCGCAAAAAAAAAAA